GTTGCTGGCTGGGGCTAAACCACAACACAAGTGTAAAAGATAAAAAAAATCAAGGAGAGAGAGGACTGAGGCTATAATTTACTCACCAGAAGTGGGCTGGCCGTCTGTCAGCAAAATAATCATGGAGACGCTCCGTTCTGGCAGCCTCTCGGCTTTATCCAGCACGCTCACGGCAGTCAGCAGGGCACGATTGATATCTGTGCCTATAATGAGAAAGCAGGCGTCACTCACCTGAAAAGGATAATCATCTGAAGAAATCAGTGCACTTCATCTGCAGAGGCCCGGCAGAGTTGTTCAAAGTTTTCTGCAGGAAGTAATCCTTCAGAGAGATGAGGATTTAGGGGCTTACCCTACTGGGCTTAATTATGGTGTGTTCTATTGCAATGGGAATGCTGGAGTATTCTTTTGGGAGCATTTTCCACACATATGTCACGGGAAATACAAACATGTCTAAAGCCATTAAAAAATGCTTAAATAAACACACTGTTGTCTGTTAAGCTACCTTTATGAAATGTCTCCTATCCTTATTTGAGAAGTCAAAGAAAAGAGCTGGGCACAGGTGGGCTTTATTGGTGTTAGCACCTGGTATAAAAAAAATCTACGTTAATACTGACAGCATAACATTAACAGGAGATAGAGCCTTTTAGATGTGCTTAAAACTAAATAATAAACCAGAGTGCACTGAGTGATGCAGCAACTGACATGCTTCATGACTGTTTTGACTATTCTGTTTCTGTAGTGTGGCTTACACGGGAGTATAACTTTGGATGCATTTTATTTTACAAGGGGACCCTTGATATTAAAAAGAAAAAAAAAAATCAGCAAATTGCTGTCAAATGTTGAGAGAATTGACATTTTTCTGTAGAAAAAAAAGTACTATTAGGAAATCTCCCAGCCATCTCTGTTACAAAAATCTGAAACAAAACTTTGTGGCTTGTACGGTTCATAGGTGTGATGTAACCATCCCTCTATATATCCATACCATAATGTAGTCACCAATCCGTCCACTCCCATAACCAGCCTTTCTATCCCACTCATAAGTATTAAAAACTTACTTGTTTTGTGAGCAATGATGGTAGTTCTGTGGCAGTACGAGACTAATAAAAATAATTTTTTTTTCTAAGCAATATATTATATTGGGTGCACGTTTGTGGTTACAAGCATCTAGGTGGTGCCTTGTACCTCCACTAGCAGAAAGAGTTTGCACAAATCCTGCAGCACTCGCCACGTTCTCTGCAGTGGCTTGCAGCAAAGAGCTCTTCCACTCTGCCATTTTGCTGTTAAAGGTGATAAAGCTGAAATGATCTTCTGGGCGGAGGTCTTGCAAAACCTTCAACAGGGCATGCCTCGTCTGTTCCAAGGAGAAAACAATCACTTTGAATATTTCTACTTCTCTGCCAGAAGTGGGATTGGAATTACAGGGTAATAAGGGGGTTTCTCTACAGCACTATTCAAGATGCAGCCCAATGCCCTTATTTAGTCCTAATGGTATTTTTCAGGTTGACATCATCAGAAATGGCCAATTCACTTAACTTACAAACACAAAAAAACACCTATGAAGGCAGTAGTGGGCTTGTCTGCTCTGTAGCAAAGCTGAATACACATTCATCAATAAAGGTAAACCAGACAAATTAATTCTTTGAACATCATTAAAGAAAAAAAATTAGAATAAAACGTTCTGCAAAGATAGAGACAGAAAGTGCTCTCTGCCTTAATGTTTGATACCTGTGAGAAGAGCCATATCAGAAAAGTGTTGCTCTTTAATAGCTTAAATCTGTGCATACGTATTTTCAAGCATTTCTACATGTCTGAAAATTTGGCCATGTACAAAACCAGCATGTGTTTCAAAAGTGAAATTTGCAGTCACTTCCTCGAAAGGCTGGTGTGTGCAACCGATGCAAGCAGAGGTCGGTACTTTGAGGTAGGTTACCTGTTCAATTTTTCTGCCTGCCATGGAGCCACTTCGATCTATAACGAAGATAACATTTTTGGGAAACACTGGCATTTCACTGGGTGCAAAGTAATGAACAAAATACCCATTGACAATCTGAAATACAGAATGTGAAATCATGTATAAAATTACATTTAAATAAATAAATATTGCATCTTAACATTCTGGCATAGCAAGAAGGGGTGTGCATGCTCAGCGTTCTGTTCTTCTAGATAAGCCCAAATCAAAGAACTATTAAAATGTATTTCCTAGCTGGAAGCGAGCCTATCTGTAGAGAACAAATTACAAGAGAACAGTGGATAAATATATATATAGAGAGATACAGATATAAAATAATATATATTATACGCCTCAGAGCCATATGTATGATATATCTGTGTTATCACTGTATATTACGTTACCTCTTTATTATTACCTATGAGCACATCTCTGCTCATTGGCTGTGACTGCCATCTTTTAGCACATCCATGTATACTTCATTAGTGAAATGGTATGGAAAATAATGTACTTTAATCCCTAGGATATGCATTGTTTCCTAAATATTTTTAAGTTCCTGCTTTCTTTAGTTATGCCTCAGTTTTCACAAAAAAATAAAAGGAAACCAAGCAGTCATTTTAATAGTTATATAAATCACATTCCTCTAAAATTCATTTACAAGAAGCCAAAAATACATCTTAGATCAGCCAAAATAATAATAAAAAAGAATATAGAGAGACATCTATAAAGCGGCAAAATAGATTTGGTATTGAAACAAAATCTGAAAGATTGATTTTCTTTTTTTTTTTTTCATGGATGATCCATTCTTGCAATGTGTCTGGTGTCTCTGGGGATTTGCTGAACATTGCCATCAGTTCCTGAAAATAATGGAAATAGCTTTTCCTGTCACTCTTGGTGTTTCAAAGTAAATGTTGCTGTTTTGCTGATTGCACTTCACATTCAGACGTATCTATGATCTGAAAGAATTTTTATTTCTATTTCTTTTTTACCTGTATATCACCTGCAGTGGCACCTCTCTTAACATCATAACGCACAACAAAATCACCGTTGAGGAGGGTTTCATCGAGTTCAGGATTTATCTTCTGTTGATCTACAGTTGGCTTAAATAAAATATGAGCCTGCAAAGCAATCGGAAGAAAAGCTTTGAAGCAATGTAACTTAAAGCTGCCACCAGCAGTAACATCTGGCAGCTGCTGCTTTACCTTGGTTTCATTCTGCACTTTTGTGAGTGCCTCAGTTAACTCGTTTGTCATGAACGTGCTGTCTGTCTCCAAGAAGCGTATGCCTTGGGGCTCGAAGATGTGCACATCGATCTGACAGCGGAGAAGAAGTCAGCGTCAGCATCTCGGGGGGGAAACACAGCCATGCCTGAAAAACGCCGCGGTGCTCCCTGCCCAGCCCTGGCTGGGGCAGCTCACCTGGAAGTGCTTAACAAGCTGCTTCGGTCGGACCTTAATCAGCAGCTCAAACTTCCCCAGCTGCCGCTTCAACAGTTCCTCGTACGTCAGCTCAAAAGTGACTTTGCTGGCAGCTGCCATGCTGACGGACACATGAAACTGCTCCAATTTTCTGCCTGTGATTCTGGGGGGGGGACGGGTAGAGCAGAGATTTACCTCCTGCTGGGAAGGTTTGCTCATGGTGGCCAAAGTTCATGAAGTGTGGTAAGTAATGGCCAAGGGGCCACATAGAATAAATAAAAAAAAGAGTAGCAGTAAATCTTACTCATCACAGAGAAGACTTTTTACATTGCAGGCAGTATTACATGCATCACATATATTACATTAGCGCGCCATGGGTGCTGCGTATGCAAGCTGAGAAATGGAGCAGAAACCTCTGCATGCCTCAGACTGGGATCAAGCAGAACTGGGACTGAATACATGGGAAGCGCAGGTTAAATATAACCCCTAAAGCGTGATGTCTGCTCAAGTGCCACGGTCCTCTGCGCTTGTGGGGAAGCAGACTCAAGGACTGAGCATTGCCCCAGCCCGGCAAGGTGCTCCTGCAGGACAGCAAGTCCCAGGGCAGCACTGCACGGCGACACCTCCCACTGAAGCCCATTGCAGAACCAGATATAAATCATATACATATGTCAATATATATATATACACACCCCCACACCCATCTCTCCCAACAGGAACCCAAGGCTGCTTTTCACATTTATCCCTGCTGAGAGGTGGCTGGCTCCAGGGTTTAACCCACCCCCAGCCAAACGAGAAGCTGAGGAAGAGCATTGGAGCAGCCTTACTCAGGACAGCAACGTACTTGACAAGGCCAGCGCTCTGCCCGTGTGAGACTGCAGTGTCATATTCCTTTTGAGCAGAAGCTTTCTCCTTTATTATGCCTGGGTATACTTTACCATCGATGGACCTGTTTGGTTGCCATAAAAATTAATTAATATTAGAAGGAAAACACTGGGGAAAGAAACAAGAGGAACGCTGCACTTCGTGGCCCTCAGGGCACAAGCCTGGGACATTGTTTGGCTCCCACACCCCCCCCGTCCCGGGGGGTGCCAGGAGCCACCACCACAACACAGCCCTCCTCCTTGCAGGGTCTCGGGGAGGCTGGAGCAGGAGAAACATCACCACTGAGTATGTTTGTCACCCACCCTGTGCAGCAGGCAGCCCTGCCCTGGCCCTGGGCACCTTCTTTCTATTTGGCTGCCTACTACTTTGCCCCACGGAGCATTTTGTGCAGGACCCTCCAGAGCTCAGCTCTTTGTGCTTTTTGCTCAGCACCTCCTGAGAAGAAAGAATCCCCCGTCCCTAGCCCCCAGAGCTGCCTCCTTCACACCACAGGTAGGGACTGGTCCTACATGGAGAAATTGGTGATGAAGGCCGTCTTGGGTAACTCCACTTCAAAGGTCGCCTCTCTGGACTCATTAGCTCGGTTGACAATTTTGCTGGTGATGATGGTGTGAGCAAATCGTGATGTGACCTTGCAGTCCACGTGGAGGTTGTAGATTTCAATAGCATGCTGGAAAAAAAACAAAACAAAACAAAAAAAAAACCCCAAACAACAAAACCCCTAGGCTGAAACAAACACTCAGATTTTGCTCCTAAGCAGTCCTTACATGGGTGATGTTATTGGAAAAGTTTGATGAAGGAATGAAACGTTAGAAGGCTGGAGTTGGGGAGGGGAATTGTTCATGACCAGACTGGCCATCTGCTTATTCACATCCCTGAAGCTGCGACCACAGCCCCACGCAAAATCTGCAGCTACATCTACATGTTATCCAACAGAAGGCTTCTGTCCGAGCCTTTTTCTGCGGTCTTCTCTCCTCGGGGTACTCTGAAGCAGCTGCTGTGTCATCCCAATACGCGCCCTAAGATTAACCTCAGAAGAATCAAATGCCTCTCTAAGCGCTCGACCCATGGAAAGAGCCCTGCTAGCTTTTTGCGCGACTATTTATTTGCTCTCCCAGCTGTTGACTTTGCTGCATGTTTTTCAGGTGGACGCCTTGTGTCACATGCCATGTTTAGCAGGTTTGAAACCCCGCGTGGGCCTCCAACCCCTCGCTGGTTGCACAAGCGGGGATGCCCTTTGAGCGCTTGTGTTTCTCCTGGTCTGGTGCTTCCAGGGCCCCCAGCGCTCGAGGGAGGAGGGCACCGTCCTGGAGCTGCCCGGGAACACCCCACACGGTGGCTGGACTAGGAATCACCTGGAGCACCCGCCTCTGTAAATACCCTTCTTTTCTATTTGGGATGTCTGTTTTAAAGGACCTACCTGTGTTTCAGCAGTAACACTAAGAAGGGTTGATCTGGACATCACCAGCCTCACAATAGCCCAACAGTTTATTAAAATAAAAAAGCTCAGCATCAAAGCAGATCATTGCACTTCTATTTTGACTTTTCCAGCCTCACAAATCTTTTGAATGGCTAATTGATCTTTAGTTATTTGGATAACTCATCTCCTGTACTTTGCTCACCAATTAATAGCATCCACTGGCCTCTTCTTGGTTAGGGCACTGGACAAAATTCAGAATTTTAATCAAGCTAAACATGGCCATTCAATACAAAGCTGCAGCTTTGTGCTCGGGCATCAGGGCAGGAGGCACCACAGCCAATGCCATGTGAGTAACGGCTGGCTGTCTCTTTTTTTCTTATACATTGCCAGAGTGTGCTCCATCTCCTGACGCCTACTGACAATCCAGGACAATGGGGTAAAACCCAAAAATATTCATCGAGAGAACAATTTCCTGATCCTGGCAGTTTGGGTGCCCCTCCCTGCCCGTGCCTCCCTGCTGCCCACCCCCAGCTGGAGCCCTCCCTGCCCAGACTGGGGCTGTCTGTCCCAGGAGCGTCTCTTCCCAAAGGTTTTCCGAGTATCCCCAAGCACGTCTGCTCACGTTTGCTGCTCTGCCGTGCTCAACCTGCCCATGGCACGTTTGGAGGGAAGGTTTTGCCATGACGGAGGAGCCCTGAGGCATGGCTCATTGGGGCAGCGCAGGCACACAGTGGCCATCGCTAGCCATGGAGCATCCTTCCGGCAGAGGAGGAGCTTGCCCCATGCAAAACTTACCCTGGGCAAAATCCACCCTGCAGCCACGTGCTGAAGGGGTGCTGCAGGGACAAGGGGACGGGGACCTGCATCTCCTGTGCTTGCGCAGACCCGGCAGCATTTTGGGCCATGACCAGCACAAATGAGCACACAGTGAGGTGCAGCACGGTGAGGGGCATTGCTGAGCCCTTAGTGAAGGGGGCAGGAGAGGACCAGCCCCGGGTGTGTACCCAAAAGCCGCTCCCTAAGGCGCCACAGGCCCATGCACCACATCCACGGCTTCTTGCAGAACCCTTGGTTGCTGCTGCAGCAGCCACAAGACCTGTCCCTGCCTCCCAGAAACCTGCCTGCATTTTGGTTGCTTTTCACACTTTTCTGAATAGGCACAATGGAAATAAAAACCTGCCAACATAAGGCTTCCTCCATTTCTCTAATATTCATATTTTTACAATAAGACCAGTTGCGTGCACCCTGAGATGATACAAAATGCAGTTTGCTCCTCCAGATGGTACAGATAACTGTCTACTTCCCTCTTTTCCATTCCATGTAAATTATTAAATGCCTGTCAGAAACCTCCTGGCACTGCAACGGTCCTCATTTGGTCCTGCCATAACAGCACTGTGTCAAGATCCAAACCTCATCTGGTGGCCGAGGGAGACCCATTGATCCCTCAAAATTTGGTATTTCACATCCCTGGGGAACAGCATAATCAGACGTACCTGCAAACGCTCTACTGCCACATTTATACTATAACAGCCCAAACAACCAACCAAAAAGGCCTTAAAAGGACCCAAAGCTCTGAAATCACGACACGATATACCCGAGGCTCCACAGGTGGTGTTTACCAGAGTAGTTACCTGCGTTACCTGGCCAGCTACCGCGATACCACGCGATCACCAAATGAGAAAACAAGATGTTGTTAAAAAAAACCAATAAAGCAAATACCTTTTGAGCAATAGCTTCTGCTAATACTACGAGTGAGGAAAAGACCATCAAAGCGAGAAACGTTCTCTCCTCCATTTTGGAAAGAGCAGATTTTCAAATGAAAACTCGGTTTATCTTAATCAGTTAATCAGTAACTTGTACTTGAGGATATTATGTAGACTTTGAAGAGACCCAGAAACTTAATATTTACATGTTAAACATAGGTAAAACTTGGACTTGGTTAACATTTATTTTTCCAACAGATCTTTGCTGTTAAACATTAGAATTTTAATGTTTCATAATGCCTAAAGTTAAGAAATCCTTATGTTTTCTTTTTAAACTTAGATCTCACTGTGGCACGTGAAATCTCACAGGCAGATGAACTGGTCCGTGCAACAAGCTGCATTTTTGGATGCATGAATCTCTACCATATCCAATAATAATAATTTGAAAGGGCACATCCTTAACGTCATCTCAAGTATTTCAGAGATTTGGAGATTGCCAAGGCATGCAACATTCACATGAGATTTTATAGGCAGTGACTTCTTCAAACCTTGTGCCTCCCTGCCCAGCCGGCCCATATGAGGTACAGAGTGGCCCTCTTGAAACATCCCTTTTTGCTTCCTCTGAAAAGCCATAATCCTTGTTTGTCAAATAGCAAAATCAGTTGTGGCTTGTCTTTAGCTAAACAGTAAAAAAAAAAAATTAATCAGACCTTGCCTGGATTCCCTAGGGAGAGAGGCCCTAAGTCAGTGCCTGTATGTACGCATATGTAAGTGTACAAAGACAACAAACCACCCAAAAATGAACACAACAACAGCCGTGCATGGGAGCACATCTGGCCTTGTCCGGCCCTAACACAGCTGCGACATATCCATCTGGGGATTCTGCAAAACTGCCTTTAACCTGTGCACTCAGCGGGACTGTTTGCACAAAAAGTTAGTGCTGGCAGAGCTCTGCACCTGGATTTACCTGGAAACTGAGTGGGACGATTCTTTTCACCTCCTATTTTATAATAAAATCTTCATCCAACAGGGACTTTGAGCAGTTCCTGTGAAATTTTTGTTGGTCAATGGCTGGCTTGTAGCTCTGGAAAAAGAAATTGTTAAAAGTCCAGTTTTATACACAAATAATTATGGACAGCATTATACTAACATAATTCCTAAAATACCTGCTCACTCATGTGGTGCTTAGGTGGTCGCCTAACACAAGACAGCTTGCATGACTATTTAAAAGATATTTCTCCATCCAAGTAGTTGTGATGTCTGCCTCTTCTACAGAGCATTTTAAACATATTGTGGGGAAATAATTGGTTTTTTAGGCAGTGGGGTAAACAGACCCTGGGCAGCACCCATTTCAAAGGTTTGTCTCCTCAGCTCTACAACTGGGGAAACCAAGGTGAGAAATGGGGGTCAGGGAGCAATCTGTCACAAGCCATTCCTACGCCACGTGTCCAGGGCTTGCTTGATTTATTGGGAAGCTTTCAGTGGGCTTCATTTGTTCCCAGCACAAGAAAATACGATGTTTGAAATCTTGAAAATATCAACAGGACAGAAAAAATAACATCCCCTGGGGCTGTAGTTCAGAGGATCTCTCAGCCCTATGGGGCTGCTGCGTCAGCCCCTGATTCCTGTATGCATTTCTATGAACACATGTATACAAGCGCATTACCGTGCAACCAGGCAGAGAGATACGATCTGGGAAGACCCTCTCTCCTCCCAGCCCTGAGCAGGTGAAGGCTGAATCCTGCCCTCCCACTGTGATTTCCCTGGCCGTCCATCCTGTGCTGGCAGCTCCAGGGTAGCAGACAGCCCTTTCCCAACTAGAAGTCTGTCCACACAAACCCACTTTTTCATATTGCTTTCTGACAGCATTTTTCCCCTTATAACTCCATGGTAGGTAATGCCATTGTCTTAAATTAGCTCAAAGAACCTGTGGAAACGCATGCATCTGTGTTTGCTTCATTGCTATTTTACAGACAAAGCGTCGAGGTGGAGAGCATGCTTCCAGTGACCTCGGAGTTGCAAGGAGACGCTAATGCAGGGCTCAGTAATTTATTACTTTGACAGACATTTACATTCACCATTTAAGTTCACCATAAAGAGTCTGTTGAGCACAGCCTGGTCTTACAAGGCTTATGCTTTACATAACTTTTTTTAAAGATAAACTTCACTTCTTCCAGGCAAGCTGTTTATACTACTTGCAAATACTGTATTGTTTATAGCAGGACATGTAAATACATATATTTTAACAGAGAAAAATTACAACTGCTATACATATGATTAACTACTACAACTCGTGTAATGCTCTAATCCCTTAACATACACAGGATTGTACGCTTAGTGGCCTAAGATCCCCAAGAGCCAAAGCTTTAGCTTTAATTAAGTGGATGTCATCGGTTTTCTAATACCCACATGTAAAATCACACGGACCTTAAAGAGCTGCTTTAACTGCAGAGATTTAGGCTGCATGGTTGGCTCTGCCCTGCTCCTGGGCGCACGGAGCCAGCCAGCACCCAGGGAAGCTGTGAAATCCCTCCTGCATCCCTTTGTGGCTTGCTGAAGCAGCTACAGGGAGATCTCCTGCTCAGCCTTGTCCCCAGACTCGAGCACCTTGCCCCGCTTCTGTACAAACCGCCACCGACAGCCGTCCCCGCTGATGTCCAGTGCCCACTGCTGCTGCTACACTGGGCACCATTCCTGCAGCACCCAGTGCTTCTTACTCTGAGGAATGAACATACTGTGAAATGACTTCAGATCACCTTGGAGGAAGGATCTAAATCCACCATCACAACAGGAGATACCTTTGAGTGCAAAATGACCTAAAAACTAAAACCCTGGGGCTTTATTCAGACACGTCTCTGTCACTATTTCCCATTATGGAAATGAGGAAAAAAAAAGGAAGAAAACATATTTTCCATCATTAGACTTACTAGATTCGCAAGGATGAAGAAAAAGATGACAAAAAATTCTCCAGGCAGCTTTATATTTGTTCCTCTCACCTACAAGTATCTCCTCTCCTGCAGCAGCAGCCCGTAAGTTTTCCAGCACCGCAGCAAGGCTGGGGACAGGGGAGGATTCCTGCAATTCATACAGGAGAGCACAGACCTTGCTGTCACAAATGGGGAGTGACTTTGTCCCAGGGATATACTTTCACCTTCAATGACTATTTTTCAGAGGAAGTCCATCTTAAAAGACAGAAAAAAGATCCCTGGTCCTGAGCACTTACTGTCACACTGGGAAGCATCCCAAATACTTGAACCCGAGGACATCCTGGAAATAAAGCAGTTAGCAAAATCCCAAGTTTCTGGTAGATAACTAATTTTGCTTCCCTGCCACATCTGTGCTGCAAGTCTGTGGGACACAGAGGTTTCTGTGCTTTGTTAAATTGGCACCAATGTACCCAAGGCTGGGTCTGAAATACAGCCCCCCCCCCCCCTTTGCAATATTCAGTCACTTGTATTGTACAAAAGAAAGTGATAACAGCATTTTGCCCCACTTGTCCCTCTCCATCATTTTTCTAATTAGTAAAACAACCTCCTGCAACTTCTCATCACAGATTAAGGAGGGTTTGTTAAAACTGATGGAGGGACAGCTCCAGTGTTATCAGGGTGGGAACTGTTTTTCCACTGTGTTTTATTTTGGTTTTATCTTCAAAGCTCTGGAAGGGGTCTTTTGCAGAGGAAAAGGCTGTGCTGCGTTACCTGTGAGGAGCCTGGGCCCCATAGTGAAATAGTGTCCAGCAGAGTCTTGGCTGCAAATAATAATCTTTGAAAGTGAAAAAAAAAAATGGGGCAGGGCAACACACCAGTGATATCTTTAATTTTTTAAGGAAACCTCCCCCTTAAACCCAAAGGATTTGTTGCTGCCTTATGCACATCCTACTCCACAGCCTCTCTGAGAGCTTTGTGGATATCGGCACGTTCTATCTGTCAAGTGTTTGGGACACAAAAGGCAAATATGATATTCTTCACAGTGCACAGAGACTTTTGATATCACTTTCACCTCTTAATCAGGTCTAGCCCGTGCAAAATTGAAGTAATTCTTTAAATAAAGGTGGCACCTACCTCACCATCCCTGGATGTGCTGCCAGGGACTCAGGGTGCTAGAGAAGTGCGGCAGCTGCCAACAAAGCAGAGGATCATCCGTGTTTGAGCATAAAGATCCAGCTGAGGGGGAAATAACCTCAGGGGAAAACAGGTTTCATGTTTAATGCAGCAAATCAAGACGTAGACAGTTGCAAAAAACCCAACTTCCACTCAAAGTGGGTTTGCTGTTGTACAGAGACACTCAGTAGGTTGCTCAGTTCTTCAGTCAGGAGGGACATGGCGCCTGTGCTGCCGGTCTCTCACCCCACTTCACACTTGATCCAACAGAACCTCAAGGACGTGGGGAAAAAAGCCACTGCGGAACGGTCTGAAAGCCCTCCCTTGGCGCTGTGACACACTGACAGCCCAGCACCTTGCCTCCCAGCAGAGACGCTTGTGGGGAAACCATGACGCTGCCGCCCTGGGGACCGCGAGGGGAAGGCCATGAGGGGGGGGCCACCACCCTGAGGGGCCTCGCTGGGCGCCGCTGCAGTCAGCGCAGATTTGGGTGAAGTCTCCAGGTTTCTGTGATGCCCCTTCGACCAGTTCCTCCTCAGCTCCCTCTTGGCGAGGGCACAGCGTGAAGAAATCGCACTGACACTAGAACTGTGTCATCTGGATGTTTATTCTTTGTGTTTGATGGACTAGATCATGGCTTATAACACCAAAGTGTCCACAGAATTAATCTAAGCCTAAATTGAAATTAGTCACCACAGTGTGCCACGCTGTGTCCAACCACCTTTTTTTTATTAAACCATTATAGCAAACACCGTTCAACACATAGAAAGAAAGCACATAATAAAAATTAACGTGGAAGTTGTACCCTTTGACATGAGTCTATTCCCTACTTGATGACTTAGAACAGAAATTAGCTGCTTAGGTCTACAGTGACTTTAGCGTAAGGGGCAGAAATGTGGGAAAATGTTACAACAATCATCCAGGTGAGACACATCCAGCACTGCCATCAGCCAAAGACACTCTTGGCTGGCTCTTCTTTTGGTTTCGCAAA